TCCATCATAGGCTACCGCTAATGATATAAACTCACTTCTTATTTATCATCTCATTTGCTTTGCGTTATCCTTCCACATATACTGCTCCCTAGAAATGACACTCAGTAAGGCCACCAGTGACCTCTTTATTGTGAGACACAGTGGTGCCAATCAGCCCTGGCCATCCTCTCAACTGACTTGAGTCAGCCGATGGCATTTGATGCTGTTGATCATTTCCTCCTCCTTGAACTTCCCACTTTCCCTGGTCTTTGCAGTTTTACTCTCTACTCCCGCCTAGATTTCCTTCAGTCTTCCTGGGTACTTCTCATCAGGCTCCTTTTCCTGCCCAGTCCCTAAAATGCTGATTTTCTGCAGGTGCCATTTCAGGCTCTCTCCCCTCTCCCTCCACACATTCACCCTGGGTGACCTCATCCCCTCCCATGACTCTTCCCCCACATGAGCACTGATGATGCCCAGTTCCACCATCTCTGCTCCAGACTCATCTCATCAGCTGCCTTCTGGCAGTGTCTGTCTCCATTGATACTTCTCACTCAGCAGGTCCAAGGCTGAGCTCATCACTCTCGCTCCACTCCCCCTCCTCTTCCTGCATCCCTGTTCTCTGTAAGCACCATTGCCATCTACCTCATGGCACGAGCGTAAATCCTGAAACTTCCTCCTGGTGTTGGATTATCCAGCAAGTGCAAAAAAGCAGAGGCTTGAAACACCAAGGAAACAAACCCAGAGTGCCAAAAAATTATTTCTAAAGAATGTAGTGCTTTACACGCATGTTTACAGCAGCACAATTTGCAATTGCAAAAATGTGGAACCCACCCAAATACCCATCATTCAACTAGTGGATACATATATATGATGGAATGCCACGCAGCCATAAAAAAGAATGAATAAATGCAACCTGGATGGGTTTGGAGACTATTATTCTAAATGAAGTAACTCAGGAATGGAAAACCAAACATTGTATGTTCTCACTCATACGTGGAAGCTGAGCTATGAGGATGCCACAGCATAAGAATGACACCATGGACTTTGGGAACTCGGGGGAAAGGGTGGGAAGTGGGTGAGGGATAAAAGACTACAAGTTGAGTTCAGTGTGTACTGCTCCAGTGATGGGTGCACTAAAATTTCACAGATCACCACTAAAGAACTTATGTAACCGAACACCACCTGTTGGCCCAAAACCTATGGACATAAAAAATAATAAATGAAAGCTTAAACAAACATACAAGAATGTGGTGCTTTAAAAAAGCACCAAAAAGCCATCCTAGAAAAAACAAAGCTTTTGGCTTCCTTATTTTATGATCAGATAGTACTTTCCTTGTGGGTGTTGTATACAGGAGGGTGGGTGAACATAACCTTTCCAGGCTTAGAGCCACTGATGTTTCTTCTACAGCCTCGTCATCCTCAGCCACCCCTTCTCCATGCCCAGTTGGTTCCTAAGCCCTGTTGATTTTGCCTCATCGACAGCAGCTGAACCATCTCTAATGCTGTCTTAGGGCTTCTGGTGTGTCGGTGTCCTGGATTGCTATAGCGGCCTCTTGACTAGCTTTCCCTTCCCACCCATCTGTCACAGAGATGTCACCTGTTTCATGTCACTCTCCTTCCTAAAATCTTTTCCTTGCCACCTGGTAACTTCGAGAGAGGTTTCAACCCCTTAGCCTACCTCTCTGCTGCTATTCACATGCAGCCACCACTCCAGGCATCCTCATCTCTACCCCTCCCCAGCTGGGAAGGATCTGCGTGACAAGGGAGAGAAAAGGTGGGAGACTGTAATCCTGTATTCTCTAGGGAAGAAAGGAATTCTCCCCATTTCTCAAAAGCCTCCAGAGGAGAAATGATCAGATATACATAGAGTTCAGCCAAGAAGCATTTTCCTTCTGCCCTGGGCTTGCCTTTTGGTCATAGCTTTTGTCCTTAAAATGCAGGTAGATTTGTCACTGGGGCCACATGCAGAAGAGGGCCATTGTCTTCTCTCAATGTTCTGCTCAGTGAGAATATCTTCACGTCACCAGCCACGAGCAAGCCGGCTCAGCTGACACAGCTCATATCCTCTGTAAACAGGGCCTGGGAGAACGCTGTGTGTGCCTCCGGTCAGGAGCTCCGTGGCTGGGCCTTGGCGGGCAGAAGGGCATTACTCACTGGAGCCCCGTCCTCTCCCCAACAGTTTGCCCATTTTCACGGGGGGGGGGGGGGGCTGAAAGGGGGATGGGGGGAGGGTGGGAGAACACAGGAGAGTGGAGCTGTTTGTTTTCTCCTTCCTGTTAACAATGCAACATCTGTTCCCCAGCCTGGCAGCTGGACCAAAGTGAATTGATGAGAGCATTCAAGCCTCTGGATGGGGGTGGGGAGTGGGAGAGGGAAGGAGGGAGGGCTGCCTCGAGGGCTGAAGCCTCCCTGAGCAATAACAATAGCAACAATCATGAGAGTATCTTCAACACCATTTGGCAGGAGGACTGTGGCCCACAGAGCCGGTGGAGCTGGGTAACTTGATGTTCCAGCAGAACATGTAATGTAACAAACGCACCGAACAGAGATCTGTGTGCTTTTTTTTTTTTTTTTTTTCAAAGAATTGCCCAATTAAAGGGATAGTGTTTACCTGGTAAATATCTATTTTGGCTCATGCAGGGTGATAGAAAACATCTTTATTTACCTAAGAATGAATCTGAGAGAGGTGAAGCTGACAGAGGTAGAGTGACAGCAGAAAGGCAGAATGAGGGTTAAGGAGGCCTCAGTGAGGAGAAAGAGGGCCCGCCTCCTCCTGATGTCCTCCTGCCACCCTCCTGTTCCTTCTCGTTCATCTTTGGCTGCTTTCTTCTCAGCTCTGGTGTCTCCCGTTGGCGTGTGCAGGGTTCGGTCTCTCCTCCACCTGCCCTCACTCTCAGTGTTTTTGTCTAGTCTTATGGCTGTGGGATCCACCTAAATACTGAGCATTCCCAGTGAATACCCCTGACTCAGACCTGTCCCTTGAATGTCAGCTTCATGTATTCAACTGCACACTGACCATCTTCAACTGAGAATCTAAAGTCATTTCAAAGCTAAGCATCCCCAAATGAGCTTCTTGAGTCTTCCATTCTCCAAACTTGATCTTCCATAGTCTACCTCATCTCAGTGCATGACAACTTCGCTCATTCTTCCTTGACTGTTCTCTTAGTCTCATATCTCACAAAACACTGTAGGCAAAGGCTGTTATCTTCAAAATGCATCCCAGAACCCAGTCACTTCTCCCTGCCTCGATGACTTTGTTCCCTGTTCTAAGCCATCATCAGTTCCTTCCTAGTTTATTTCAACAGTTTCCCGACTACTCTGCTTCTGCCTTTGTGCTGTCTTCCTCTTGTCCAGCCTGTTCTCAACACGGCAGCCAGAGATCCTGCAAAACCGTGATTTCGATCGTGTTCCTACCCTGCTCAAAACCCTCATACGCTCCCCATCGCAGAGGAGAAGCCTGCGAGCTTCTCTCCAGTCTGGCCTCCCGCTCGCCCTCTGACTTCTCCCACTGCTAACTACTTCAGCTTGGCCAGCACCTTGTGTTTCTAGAACATGCCAGGCACTCCCAGCTCCAGACCTTTTCCTGGACGGCTCTTCTCTCAGATGTTTGCTTATCTTGCTTTTTATCTTTTTGTCTTCACCCCAGAATTCCCTACCTTCCTTTTTTGGTCTATTTTTCTCCATAATACTTGTCACATCTGAAAAGTCGCATCTCCCACTGATTTATTTGGTTTATTGCCTCTTCTCAGTGATGACTACACTCTGTGCGGGTGGGAAAGCATGTTGTTTTGAATTCTGCTGTTCCCCTGGCACTGGAACAGTGCTTGGCACACAGAAAGCACTCAACAAACATTTGATGAATGCATGAATTGATGAATAAACAAACAAACAAATGGATGCATGAATTCTGCTTTTGTTTCTGGCAGAATGGCTATGATATGGTTTGGCTCTCTGTCCCCACCCAAATCTCATCTTGAACTGTACTCCCATGATTTCCATGTGTTGCAGGAGGGACCCAGTGGGAGATAATGGAAACATGGGAGTGGTTTCCCCATACTGTTCTAATGGTAGTGAATAAGTCTCACAAGATCTGATGGTTTTATCACAGGTTTCTGCTTTTGTGTCTTCCTCATTCTCTCTTTGTCTGCTGCCATCCATGTAAGACGGGACTTGCTCCTCCCTGCCTTCCACCATGACTGTGAGGCTTCCCCAGCCACGTGGAGCTGTAAGTCCAATTAAACCTCTTTCTTTTGTAAATTGCCCAATCTAAGATATGTCTTTATTAGCGGCATAAAAATTGACTAATACAGTAGATTGGTACCAGTAGAGTGGGTCATTGCTGAAAAGATATTCAAAAATGTGGAAGTGACTTCAGACCTGGGTAACAGTCAGAGGTTGGAACAGTTTGGCGTGCTCAGGAAAAGACAGGAAAATGTGAAAAAGTTTCGAACTTCCTAAAGACTTGTTGAATGGCTTTGCCCAAAATGCTGATAGCAATACAGACAATAAGGTCCAGGCTGAGGTGGCCTCAGATGGAGATGAGGAACTTGCTGGGAACTGGAACAAAGGTGACTCTTGTTATGTTTTCAGCAAAGAGACTGGTGGCATTTTGCCCCTGCCCCAGAGATTTGTGGAACTTTGAACTTGAGGGAGATGATTTAGAGTATCTGGTGGCAGAAATTTCAAAGCAGTGAAGCATTCAAGAGGTGACTTGGGTGCTGTTATAAGCATTCAGTTTTAAAAGGAAAACAAGGCATAAAAGTTTGAAAAATTTGCAGCCTGATAATGTGATAGAAAGGAAAATCCCATTCTCTGAGAAGAAATTCAAGCTGGCTGCAGAAAGTTCCATAAGTAAAGTGGAGCTAAATGTTAATCCCCAAGACCATGGGGAATATGTCTCCAGGGCATGTCAGAGGTCTTCACTGCAGCTCCTCTTATTACAGGCCTGGAAGCCTAGGAGGAAAAGTGGTTTCTTGTGCTGGGCCCAGGGTCTCTGGTCTGTGTGCACCCTAGGGACTTGGTGCCCCATGTCCCAGCTACTCCAGCTATGGCTGAAAGGGGTCAATGTAGAGCCATAGCTTTAGATGGTAGTCTTGGCAGCTTCCATGAGGTGTTGAGCCTGTGGGTGCATAGAAGTCAAGAATTGAGGTTTGGGAACCTCTGCCTAGATTTCAAAAGCTACATGGAAATGCCTGGATGCCCAGGTAGAAGTTAGCTGCAGGGGTGGGGTCCTCATGGAGAACCTCTGCTAGAACAGTGCAGGAGGGAAATGTGGGGTTGGAGCCCCCACACAGAGTCCCTGTGGGGGCACTGCCTGGTGGAGCTGTGAGAACAGGGCTACTGTCCTTCAGACCCCAGAATGGTAGATCCACCGACAGCTTGCACTATGTGCCTGGAAAAGCCACAGACAGGTAATGCCAGCCCATGAAAGCAGCCAAGAACAAGGCTATTCCCTGAAAAGCCACAAGGGCAGAGCTGCCCAAAACTATGAGAGCCCACTTCTTGCATCAGTGTGACCTGGATGTAAGACATGGAGTCAAAGGAGATCATTAAGATTTGACTGCACCACTAGAATTTCAGACTTGCATGGGGCCTGTAACCCTTGTGTTTTGGCCAATTTCTCCCATTTGGAATGGCCATATTTACCCAATGCCTGTACCCTCATTATATCTAGGAAGTAACTAGATTACTTTCAATTTTACAGGCTCCTAGGAGGAAGAGATTTGCCTTATCTCAGATGAGACTTTAGACTCTGGACTTTTGAGTTAATGTTGAAGTGAGTTAAAACTTTAGGGGACTGTTGGGAAGGCATGATTAGTTTTGAAATGTGAGGATATGAGATTTGGCAGAGGCCAGGGGCAGAATGGTATGGTTTGGCTCTGTGACCCCAACCAGATCTCATCTTGAATTATACTTCCATAATTCTTGTGTATTATGTGAGGGACCCAGTGGGAGACAATTGAATCACAGGTGCAGTTTCCCCTGTACTGTCCTTGTGGTAGTGGATAGGTCTCATGAGATCTGAGGTTTTATCACAGGTTTCTGTTTTTGTGTTTTTCTCATTACGTCTTTGCCTGCTGCCATCCATGTGAGATGGGACATTTTCCTCTTTGCCTTCCACCATGATTGTGAAGCTTCCCCAGCCATGTAGAGCTATAAGTCCAATCAAACCTCTTTCTTTTGTAAATTTTCCAGTCTAGGGTATGTTTTTATCAGCAGAGTGAAAATGGACGAATACAGGCTAGATTGCTAGAGGTGCATCTTACACCCTCTGAACCAATGAGAAAGTGTAGAGTGCTTGTTTTGGGTACAGCATCTCTCTTCCCCTGAAAGAAGTGTGGGTTAGAAAGGCAAGGTAGGCTCTTCGGTCTCGGGGACCTATTATGGCTCTTGGGGAAAGGAATGTGGGGCTGCCCCCAGTAAAAGTCATAAACAAAGGCTCTGTTCCAATTCATGGAGCTCCCTCTGGTGCCTTTTTCAGATTGACTGCTATTAGGTACTCCTGGGAAAACGTAGTAGATTACAGATGAGAGTGACATGAGGACAGCTGTCACTCAGACACAGGAGAGAGATGAAGGATGGAAACTGTCAGGTTAGGGCCTGAACCCTATTCCTCAGCAGGCGGTCATGACCCTTTGCTCTGTAATCTCCCTCGAAGCTACGTGGGTCCTTAGAAGGTGGTGACCTTTCATATAACTTTGATTCTTGACTCGTCTCTTTCCATTCGTTAGGGACCAGGGCTGAAAGAAAGAATGCAACAGAGTGGCTTTTTCTTGGGTTAATCAAAGTGGCTTACACTTGTACAGTTTGCCAAGAACTTCCATATGCACTCCTTCAACATTGTCTGAGGGCCACTTATGTGCAAGGAAACTGCTAAGTATCAGTGATGCTAAAGACAGCTTTGATGCAGCACGATGGATGCTGTGAAATGTTGGTGTCATTAAAGCCACACCGAAGGAGGCAGCTTATTCCCTTTATGCAGGTTACGAGACAGATTTAGAGATTAAGTTGCTCAAGAATACATTAGAAGAGGCCAGGAGTAGTGGTTCATGGCTGTAATCCCAGCACTTTGGGAGGCTGAGGCAGGTGGATCACCTGAGGTCAGGAGTTCAAGACTAGCCGGGCCAACATGGTGAAACCCTATCTCTACTAAAAATACAAAAATTAGCTGGGTGTGGTGGCGGGAGCCTGCAATCCCAGCTACCCATGAGGCTAAGGCAGGAGAATCACTTGAACCAGAGAGGTGGAGGATGTAGTGAGCTGCAGTCTAGCCTGGGTGACAGAGTGAGACTCCATCTCAAAAAAAAATAAGAAAAGAAAAGAATAAATGAGGAGATTAGAAGAGCCCCAGGAAACAGATTTGACCCCAGATGTTCTGATGCCTAGTCCAGTGCTCTGACCTTTATGTTATATGCTATTCAAGGGTGCCTTCCTCAATCATTTTCTAAGCCTACACATAGTCACACTAGTGTATGACTTTAGCTACCTGTTCCAAAAACACTAAGCAAAGAGGTGTGTGAGATTGTTTGTCCTGAAGTCCGCTTGCTGAGGTGGGAGATAGGACCCAGACATCCTTGAATAATCCCTTAGGTTTCTGTCACTTACAATTATCTCAACTCTGCCACTTGTGATTGCCAGTGATGAATTTTTTTAACCTCTCTAGGCCTCAGGTTCTTCATTTGTAATATGGAGATCATAGTTCCTATATCAAAGGCTATTACAGGGCTTAATGAGCTTACAGGTATAAGGCACTGTGTTCGTTTGCAAGGGCTGTCTTACTGAAATACAGCAGATGGTGCGGCTTAAACAACAGAAACTTACGCACAAAATAAAAAGAAAAATAAACCAACAGAAATTTATTTCTCACAGTTCTGGAGCATAGAATTCCAAGATCAAAATGTCAAAAGGATTACTACCTTCTTTTTTTTGAGACAGAGTCTCACTCTGTCTCCCAGGCTGGAGTGCAATGGCACAATCTCTGCTCACTGCAACCTCTGCCTCCCGGGTTCAAGCGATTCTCCTGCCTCAGCCTCCAGAGTAGCTGGGACTACAGGCATGTGCCACCATGCCTGGCTAATTGTGAGCCACCTGCCTTGACCTCCCAAAGTACTGAGATTACAGATGTGAGGCACCACACCCAGCCTGGGTTAGTTTCTTCTGAGGCCTGTCTCCTTGAGTTTCAGATGGCTATCTTCTCACCGTGTTCATATGGTCCTTCCTGTGTGCACCCTTGACATGCCTTTGTGTGCCCTTATCTCTTCTTTTAAGGACACCAGGCAAACTGGATTAGGCCCACCCTGATGGCCACATTTTAACCTAACCATCCCTTTAAAGGCCCTGTCTTCAGATACAGTTATAGTCAGACAAGGTGGGCGTTAGGGTTTCAACATAGGAATGTTTGAGGGACACAATTCAGGCTGTAACAACAGCCTAACACAGAGCTTGGCATATAGTTTGTTAAATAAATAAATAAAAGGAAAACCTAACACTTCAATCAAATGTCTGTTCTCAGCCTGTACAGCTTCTTAGGGGTGGTTACCATGTGTGCACCATATTTCTCCCTCACAAATGCATCTCTCTCAAATGTCCACAATCGTTCCTAGTACTGTTATTTTTAAACTGCTGCATTTTAGAAGAGTCTAAATTTACTCACTTCATATCCTTGGTGATTTTCTAGAATGTAGAAATATCCTCTCTCAGCTTTTAGCTTTTCAGATGGAATGGCCCCCTGGCAGAGCAGAAATATCCTGGCTTGGGAGTCAGGAGATCTTGGTTCAAGCCTCGGTTCCACTGTAGCTTTGGGCAAGTCTTTTCAACTTTCTGGACTTCTGATTCTCCAGATAAAGACTGCAGGGAATGAATTAAGTGCTACAATTGAATAATCAGTGACCATTTCACAGAACATTGTAGATAAGAGCAAGGACTTTGGACCCAAGGCAGATATGGGTTTCACTCCCACCCCTGTTACTTTCTAGTTGGGGAGCTTTGGGCAAGTTACTTAACCTCTCTGAGCCCCAGTTCCTCTCTTGGACTTCTTTTCAAACAAAAAACAAAATGCGAATAACGGTACCTCCCTTCATAGGGTTGCAGTGAGGCTACGCTCTACTCCAGGTGTAGCAAGAGATTGGATTTGTTGGAAGAAAGAATGATGAGATTGGTTTTGTTTGAAGAAAGAATAATGTTCTCTTGTATTTTGATTTTTTTTTTTTTTTAACTAAAGTAGTACATTAGTCTCATGCTCTCTGTGGGTCATAAATAGATCAATTCAACAGCCGGGGTCAGGGATGGTGGCTCACACCTGTAATCCCAGCACTTTGGGAGTTCAAGGTGAGCGGATCACCTAAGGTTATGAGTTCAAGGCCAGCCTGGTGAACATGGTAAAACTCCATCTCTATTAAAAATAAAAAATATTATCCAGGCATGGTGATGGGAGCCTGTAATCCCAGCTACTTGAGAGGCTGAGGCAGAAGAATCGCTTGAACCTGGGAGGCAGAGGTTGCAGTGAGCCGATATTATGCCATGGCATTCCAGCCTGGACGACAAGAGCAAAAATCCATTTCAAAAAAAAAAAAAAAACTCAACAGGAGGGTGAATAGGCATACAACAGTGCGACTGCTCAGTTAAGGCCACCATTATAATCAGAATATGAAAATCAGTGTCTGCGAGTTTTTTTCCACTGCGTTTTATTATCATACTTTTTATAGCTTCTTATTATTGCAAAGCGTCAAATCACTTCTGTTAAAAGTTTTGTCTAACCTTCATTGCAGTATATAATATAAATTCATATGAAGAAGTAGTAATATTACCTTTGCAGTATTAAATCCATGTTCCTTTCAATCCATAGAACAAATGGAAAAATAGAAAAAGTGCTATACCCTCCTCCTTGTCAGTCAAGGCAAATCTTTAATTGAAACTTTTTATTGGTCCCTTCTCAAGGGCTGACAGATGTCTAACTCCTAAGTGTAAGTCACAAATCTCTCCTAATAGCTCTGGAGCTTACTGCAGGAGGATGTGGTCGACAGTGGTGGCGAGAAGGTACAGCCTCCTGAAAGTTAGTGACTCAACCTCAAACCAAAGGGATAACTGGTAGGTTTCAGTTGGGAGAACATTTTGAAGCTGCAGGTTTATTCCACTTCAGTTGTTTTTAAAACCAGAGGTTTTAATGCAGCTAAATGTTCTTTAAAAAGTACTTCTGGCATTTTGTAAAAAGAAAGTGCACCTAAAGGGACGTCAAAGATTCATCTAAATCTGATTCCTAAATGATAGTTTCTCAAGTGTTTAAAGACAGTTGTCGCGTCTTGTGGGCGTCTGCAATTTTCTAGGCTAAATTCTTCACCTCTTTCAATGACTTCCTATGTGACGGTGTTGCCCAGTTCTGAATGTCTTGTTCAGTTGTCATTCAGTGTGCTTGTCAACCTGAAAGTGTGGCACTCAGAGATGAACTTACCGCTTCAGATGTGGATTGACCTGTGCAAAATGAAGTCTTCTTCCATTCCTCTGTGGAATTTTACACTTCCATTCACCCTAGCCCTGTAAGCATTAGTGTGTCAACAATACCACAATCTTAACTCATAGTTTCTTTTAGTCAGCTAAAATCTAAATGATCTGCTGTTATTTCCTTCTCCCCACCAAGAGTAATTTAAAAAACCTTTGTTTTGAAATAATGATAGATTTTCAGGAAGTCGGAAAGAGTACTGACGGGTCTGGAGTCCCCCTCCCTCTGTTTCCCCCAATGGTTACATCTTACTTAGCTATAGTGCAATAGCAAACTCAGGAAATTGTTATTGGTACAGGGTGTGGGTACAGTTCCACACCTCTTTATCTCTTTTTGCCTTAAAGGAATAATCTGAGCTCATTGAAAAATAAACCCCGTAACTGTATAAGCATCTTCAGATGCTATCCTCTTTTCCCCCATTTTGGAATCCTTTGTAATTATATTGTCAGAATTGAATTTTTGAGAGCTTCTCATTTAATTTGAAGTCTCTTCTCTTAACATGTCTTAATACTTCTCCAGACCAAAAAAAAAAAAAAAAAACAAAACAAAAAACAAAATACAAAAACCAACCAACCAATCAAGCAAAATCCTCCTTCCTCCCTGCTCCCCATAGCAGTAAAATGGCACCACCATTTGCTCAGTTGCTCAAGCTCAAATGCTGGGAGACAATCTTACTCCTCCCTTTCACTTACACCCTTTATCCAGTCCATTAGCAAATCATGGCAAATCTGCTTTCAGAATTCATCCAGAAGTCCCACCACGATCATCCCCCCACATCAAAGCCACCACCACTGATCTCTGACCTCCTCGCTGACCTCTGCTCTTGCCTCCTTCCAGTCTGTTCTCCCCAGTGAGCATAGAGAGAGGCTTCACAGGAGTAATCTAAGCCACTGGCATTCTTCAGCTTAACCTTGCCAGGGGCTTTCCACACAACAATAGCTAAATACTCATTTATACAGTGCTTATTATGTGTCAAAGGATGTTAGTGCTTTACCGATTTCCAGTCTTCACAATACTGCTGTGAGGCCAGCTGTGGCATGATCTACATCGTACAGCTCTTATACATCCACCTGTCAGAGGGCAGCGACTTTGCTGAGGTCTTATAGCTCCCATGTGTAAGAGTGAGAATAAGACCTCCACAGATTAGCTCTGTAGTGCACACTATGCCATTCTGCCTTGTGCCTCATCCACAATAGAATTCACATTTGCATGGCCTAAAGGCCTGCACCATCCTGCCCTAGTACCTCTCTGACCCCATTTGCTACTACTCAGCCTCATCCATACACATTGGCATCTTTGCTGGTCCTTTGACATGCTTAGAGCATAGCAACAGCCCTCTGCAGCAGCACTTCCCTGCAGAAGCAAACCCCTGCTACAGCACCCCTCTACAGCAGCACCCCCTCCCTGCCACAGCACCCCCTCCCTGCCTCAGCACCCCTCTGCAGCAGCACCCCCCCGCAGCAGCACCCCCTGCAGCAGCACCCCCTCCCTGCAGCAGCACCCCCTCCCTGCAGCAGCACCTCCTCCCTGCAGCAGCACCCCTTCCCTGTAGCAGCACCCCTCTGCAGCAGCACCCCCTCCCTGCAGCAGCACCCCTCTGCAGCAGCACCCCCTCCCTGCAGCAGCACCCCTCTGCAGCAGCACCCCCTCCCTGCAGCAGCACCCCCTGCAGCAGCACCCCCTCCCTGCTGCAGCACCCCCTCCCTGCAGCAGCACCCCCCTGAAGCAGCACCCCCTCCCTGCCACAGCACCCCTCTGCATCAGCACCCCCCCGCAGCAGCACCCCCTCCCTGCTGCAGCACCCCCTCCCTGCAGCAGCACCCCCTCCCTGCAGCAGCACCCCCTCCCTGCTGCAGCACCCCCTCCCTGCAGCAGCACCCCCTCCCTGCTGCAGCACCCCCTCCCTGCAGCAGCACCACCTCCCTGCTGCAGCACCCCCTCCCTGCAGCAGCACCCCCCTGAAGCAGCACCCCCTCCCTGCCACAGCACCCCTCTGCAGCAGCACCCCCCTGCAGCAGCACCCCCTGCAGCAGCACCCCCTCCCTGCCTCAGCACCCCTCTGCAGCAGCACCCCCCTGCAGCAGCACCCCCTCCCTGCCTCAGCACCCCTCTGCAGCAGCACCCCCCTGAAGCAGCACCCCCTCCCTGCCTCAGCACCCCTCTGCAGCAGCACCCCCCTGAAGCAGCACCCCCTCCCTGCCTCAGCACCCCTCTGCAGCAGCACCCCCTGCAGTAGCAATTACCTTGCAGTAGCACCCCTCTGAAGCAATGCCCCTCGCAGCAACACCTTAGTACCTGCTCATCTCCCTGCCTGCAGCATTCTTCCTCCATAAAATGGCCTCACTTTATTTAGGTCTCTGTTCAAATGTTCCTACTTCAGACAGATTTTCCTCGACTACGGAAATAGCAGTCTAACATCTTTGCCACTATCTCCTGAGCTTGCTTTATTTTTAAATTAAACTTATTTTTTAGGAATAGCTCTTGATGTACAAAAAATAAAAATGAATAGTACAGAATTCCTATGTGCCTCACATTGGGTTCTTCCGATTATTGACGTCTTATTTTAGTATAATACATTTATTATAATTAATGAACAAATATTCATACATTGTTGCTAACGAAAGTCCACATTTTATTCAAATTTCCTTAGGTTTAACCTGGTATCATCTTCTGCTCCAGGGGTCTATCCAGACACCACGTGAGATGTAACTGCTATCTCCTTACGCGCCTCTTAACTGCCAGTTTCTTAGACTTTCCTCGTGTTTTATGACCTTGACCGTTTCGAGGAGTACTAATTGGGTATTTTATAGATTTTCTCCATATGGCGATTTATCTGATGTTTTTCTCAGGGTTAGACTGGAGTTATGTGTTTTAGTTAGGAAGATCACAGGGGGAAGTGCCATTCTCATGTCATATCAAGGGTACACACTGTCGACATGACTGACCACTGTCGATGCTGACCTTGATCATCTGTTTGCGCTATTCATTGTCCTGTTTCTCTAGTCTAAACTTATTCAAGTTACTCCCCCGCAACCCCTTTCCATACTGTACCTTTTGGGAGGAAGTCACCATGCACAGCCCACACTTATGGGGAATTAAGTTTCATCTTCTTGAGAGTGGATCATCTCCATGTGTTACTTGGAATTCCTCTGCCTGGAAGATTTCTGTCTTCTCTCCATTTTTTGTTATTTATTTATTCAGTCATTTACATGTGTCAATGCGGACCCATGGTATTTATGCTGTACTTGGATTATAATTCAGTACTACATTACTTACTTTCCTGCTCAAATTGTTTCAGCTTTGGCCCTCGGGGGCTCTTTCAGCTTGCTGTTGTGTCTCTTTGACATGCTCC